GTTTCTTCCCTACACTCACACTTCAGTTTTGGATCCACTTCATCCCTAATGTCTTCACTTCTCCTATTTATTCTGCAAAACACGCACCAGTCCGCCTTGACCACATTGCCCACACTCACCTTTATACTCTGAGGCCTACTGTAGTCTCCCTCCTCTAACCAACTGTAGCCCAGCTGATCCTCCTTATACAACTCCCACCTCCAGCCTTCCCAATACTCTGCTCTTTCCTTCAAATCCCATGTGCCACGAAAACACCACAAAGTGGGTCCTCCAGCTCTCCTCTCTCCTATTGACACCCTCTCCCAATCCCTACCAACTATACTCTGTCAAGCTACCCCAGATGCCCTTCCCCAAACATTTCAGCAGCTGCACTAAGCTGCTCTCTCATTAAGGACCCTTAGCCACTTTTTTCTTTTCTCTCCCCAAATGCCTGTCCCTGAAGGTCCACTTATTTGCACTCTTGCACCGTGCTTGCCCCAAGCTTCTTCTTGCTCACTTCATATTTAACCTTTACAGACATGAACTGCTGCCCAGCACCACTTCACATCCAACACATCATCCCTTTTCTCCACACAAGGCCACACTCATCAGACCAGGACCAATTTACCCGCCTCATTCCCCATGGAGCTTGAGTTCCCAGAAGAAATCATAGCAAAACTCTGCCCCAAATGGTGGGCATGTCGTGAGCGGAGTCGGCTAGAGCCAGGGGTCAGACTAGATGGCATGGGAGACCCCTCTGACTCGCTCTGTTTCTATGTTTCTAAAATGACTGCCCAGCCCTGACTAACTGGGGGTTGGAGGGGATGGGGTGACTCACACCAAGGGCCATGCCAAGCGTAATGCACAGACACACACGCAAGCCTCTAGTGCTGATATGCTCAAGCTAGGGCCCCTCTGTGAGCTGCAAAATAAACTCAAAGAACCGCATGTGGCTCGTGTGCCTGGGTCTGGCCACTCCTGCTATCTAATAACAGATGTGTCTGTGTGTGCATGTCTGTTGTCCTTCCATCAGCACCATATGGGCAAGGCAGTGAAACCTAAATGCCTGAAGCTTGGCATGCATAGTAAGAATGCGCACCTCAGGATTGGTTTTTGTTTTTTTTTAAATGCATTTATTCACTGTGTTCATGTAGTTGAAGCCTGAAGTAACATCTGCAGCATTAAGGGCAGACTACCCAAGCCCCACACAATTTTGCAGTCCATACAGCTTGAAGTCTTGGGAGATTAGTTGGTGGGAGGGCGGAACGCCTGTCTCTCCCACCTGGTGAGGGGCAGACGGATGGAGTGGGCAGGCCTGTCCCTCAGATCTGTGTGGGTGCACCATGAGAAAGTCATGGCTTCACTCAGATGAGATGGACATGTTGCACCCAACTCCGTCAGCTTGCAATTTTGCTTGAAACGTGCTTCACTGTCCCCAAATATGGACTACTCCAAACCATGTGGAGCCATGTTCGTCAACAAGTCCACGAGAAAATACTCAAATTCCAGGCTGGCAGCCTTCTAGCACTAAATCAGACAGCAGAAGAAACCCAGAAGAGGGAAACAAACTCTGGCCCACTGCTGAAACCCATTCTGTAAAAGGCTTGAATAGTAGCACGGTCTTTCTGGAACCCTGAAGGCCAGCATTTCTTTTAGCAGATGGGGACAGACGGACACATATTGTTGCAAGTCTCGCTTGGCATGGCCAATAGTCTCAGATGGACCCACCCCAGTCTAGATCAAAACAAAACAAAACAAAACAAAACAAAACAAAACAAAACAAAACAAAACATCTACATAAAAGTAGTTAGCCATGCCAGTACCCTCAAGGAGTTTGAAAAGGTTAGGGAATCAGTGCCATTCCTTTTCTGATCCCATGCTTTGTCTTCCACAGGCTTGCTCTTACACGTCCATGCATTCTACTCTTAATAATGTCTTTCATCAGTTTGCCTAGGCTTATGGGTTTGCATTCTCATGGATCCTCTACGCCCATCCTGGGATATTCTGTGATGTTGCATTATGTTGCTTACCATCTAATTCCCCAAGAAAGAGATGAATTTAAGTGTTAAGTGTTTTATTAAAATATCACTGTTCATATTTGACAAAGTTAACAAATAATACTGTTCAGATTCAACAAGGTTGTTTATGAAAGACAAATGCCACCCAGATCTGTTTACTTATTACATGCTATTCTTTTCAGCTAGTGGGGATCCAAATGTCTTGGGATGACAGCCTATGCTGTCATCCCAAGGAACATGAAGCATGCTTACTGGAAGAACTCGTTTTTGCAGGGGCAAACAGTGGATGCTTTTAAATGTTTTAATAGGAGATGTAGTCTGCCTCTTCCCACCACTGTGATCCCAATACAAGATGAGTGGCCTGTGCCTCCTGTTTACATGCTGAAAAACTATGGACACAGTTGTGGTATGAATGGCTGTGCTTACTTATGGTCTGATGGCACATAAGGCACTCAGCATGTTGAAGCTAAGCAGATCTGGCGTTGGCCTGAACTTGGAGGGGAGACCACCTGGGAACCACATGTAACCACCTTGAGTTCCACAGTGGGAGAAAGGTGGGAGAGAAATATAATAAATAAGTAAAATGGAGTGTCGGTCACTTGCACAGGGAAAACATAGGAGAAATTTTCCTTTTGATGCTAAATCCTACAAGAGTTGAACAGAGCCCACCTTTACATTCTATTATTTGTTCACTCTGTCCCATCACATAACCACAGTGATTCAGGAGCTTAAAAAAGGGTGGGGGAGGGAATGGTTATCCCTAACCTCCCAAAAGCCTGGATGATTAATCCCCTTACTCATGTTTATTTCATCACAATTGATCCATGTAGGTGCCATCCGACATGGTGCTGAACTCCAGCTGGAGGCTTTAGAAGGCCTGAGAGAAAATAAACCCAGAACTTCTACGTGATTTAACAGTACATTACACAGCCTGCTGCCAAATCCTAGGAGAACAGTTTTACAGCCTCCAAGGCAGCAGCAATTAACAACCAAAGCTGCAGAAGAGATGCAGTCCATTAGCACAGAGACATCTTGTTGGCTTAGCATATAGTGCTTACTGCAAATATTTAATACACACAGCGTTGCAGTGCTCAAGTGAAGTTGAATGGTGCCGTTGCACAAGAGATTAGCTAAAACAACAACAACAAACTTGTTCCAAATTGTCATCTCATCTGGGATTTTATCATGGCAGCAACTCAGTAAATGCTTTAAACACACAATTAGATGCCGAGTATACTTTGTATAGATCTGGTATTGCACTATGCTAAAGCGTCTTCTACAAACTGATGACAGCCATTCGATCTTTCTAGGAGCATGTTGTTGAAACAAATCCAGTGATTTATCTTCTAGAAAACAACAGAATTTCACAGTTGGAATTACAACAAAGAACAAACAGAAAAGAAATCTTGCACTCACATGGACGGCACTGTACATGCAAGCTGCTGCAGAATTTCATATTACTTTTCTTTCCTTCGTAGTGCACTGAGGTGAGTCCCTTTCTTGATACCATCTACCTTGATGGTTTATTAATGGCATTTTTTCAGACTTCTTATTGGATTTCATTTCCTATCAGGGCAGATTGATCTATTGAAGACTCAGATAATTTGTGATCAACAGATACTAGGTGAATAACTGTACATAAAATACTATAGACCACTGGGTGACCTTTTTCATGATAATATGTCATCCATGGCAGCTTTTAACCCAGAAAGAGCCTTACAGCAAATTGCTGGTTTAAATGCAGGGCTTGTTATCAGCCTTCTTCTATGTGATACCAGGACAAAACTTTAGTAGGGGAGTCCTTTGCATGTTTATACAGAAGTGAGTCCCACTGAGTTCAATGGTGCTTACTCACAAGTAAGTGGGGAAAGATTGTACCCTCAGCTACTGTTCTTCTATGTACCTCCACCTTTTCTTTAATATTTGGTTGTTGATCGGTACAATCTAAGGTCACCTCTCTGTGCAGAAGGCATGCTCTTCGTGCTGACTTCATTTCAAACAGGTCCTCAGTAAGGTAAACATTTATTAGTCTATGGCAAGAAAGTCTTTGTAGATTCAGGAAAAATAGCTACTTCATTCCCTACCTTCATTTTTATGTTAAGTACTCACTTTTGTCAATATATACTGGTTTTTATAAATTTCATGAGAACGTGCTGAAAAAAATCTATATTGTATCTATCTATATATCTATATAGCATCAATATCTATTTCTCATGCCTGCTTAGCTTCATTTATAGCAAAATCTTATACATTGCTATTTGGAATTAAGTAGAAATATGTAGCATCAAATGTTTTCTCTATTGTCAGATAATAACTTTTCCATCAAGTTAGGGGAAGACTTATTTTACAGTGTCATTTTTATCACATTGCTGTCATTTGCTTTTTAAAGCTTATAAAGTGTCCTTTGCATCAAATGTTCTTTTAAAGGTTTCTCTTTCTTATGCACATCCCAGTAAGGACAACTGGGATGTACTTGCAACATGAACAAACATGCTCAGGATCAGGCAGATAAGCAATAACTAGTACTCCTTTTTTTTTTTTTTTACCAAGCACCGTGCTAATCCCAGCATCCTAAGAATTAGCGGATTTATGGTTTTCCCATGAGGTTTATTTCCCACCCAACAGGAACTGAGTTGCGATGAAGCACCACATACAGGAAGAAACACGACAGCTTCATACAACAAAGAATATCATGTAAAAAGCACACCTCCACTACAATTCTGGAAGCTTGCAAGAACACAAAGCAAGAGTCAATACTGCAGAATTAGACAAGGAAGAGATGTGAAAAAGAAATAGTCATAAGAGAAAGATGAGGATTTATGGGGTGGGGGGAGTCCCATCATACAATCCTATACACATCTACTCCAAAGTCCCACTGATTTCAGTGAGGCTTCCACTGAGTTAAGTTGATGTAGAATTGCAACCTGACTGCTACTATTAATTATTACTACTATTACTGTCTATATAAAAGCACAAGAGCTGGTAAACTTGAAGTTTGCTTACCATCTGACAAGTCAATTAGCCCAAGGTAGTGCAAAAGTTTCAGAGAGGAACAAATCACCACCACAATTCCTAAAGTCTGGAGCCCTTCAGACTCTCCTTTGCTCCACATCCTTTTAAGATAGCTCAGAGATAGTAGCCTCGAGTGTGCTAGCAAACGACAGGCAGGAATTGAAAGCAAGGGAAAATTCAGCTGTTTGAAGCTTTTCTTCCTGCTGCTCGCTAAGTGCATGGCTCATTTTCTCTCTTTCATCCCTCCGTTTCTCCTCGTGCGTGAGTGTGATTCTCACCCTTTTCCTTTTCCTGTTCTCCTTTCCCTCCACCTTCCCCCACCCTGCACTCTCGCAGCCTTTATCTTTCTTACATGTTAACCTAGGATTTATTTCTCCTCCCCGCTGCTCTCTCTCACACACGCACCCCGAAGCAACTCTCAGCAGTTTATGCTGCTCATTTACAACTTCACATCGTGTTGCTAACCTCAGCAGCAACATCTCTGGATCCAACAGTTAGCACACTCTTGGGATTGCTTGAGCGACACTGACCAAATGATCCTTCTTCCCCAAATGCCTTTGTTGCTTCATATGATGGGAACAGGGGGTGTGGGGAGAGCCTGGTGGGAATTTTGAAAGAACCTGTTTTCTCTCCATCCGCACGATGATCCTGGCTCTCTAATTTTTAAGACTTCCTCCAAGAATTCTTCAGATTTCAAACACATAGCTTCAATTATGCCCACACTGTGGGCCTAGTGCCAGAGGTCAGCAGGGATGGGTGCCTGCCAATGGCCCCACATGTTTGGAGGCGCATCGCTGACGGTTCCACACCCACAACCATCAAAACCCTTGCTCCGTGCTGCAGTCACCCACCAGCCAGTTGCTCTCACATCTCTCTTTCACGGACATGTTTAATTGGCAGGATGCTGCTCAGGGGAAAGGGGATGAGACAACCGGCCATGCCATGGGCCACCATATTTTCCTCCCTCCCAGGGCAAGGCCTTATATCTTGGCCTAAAATGGCAGCCATCCACCACAACTTAATTATGCTGCCACTAGCAACCATCTGAGATGAGGTGAATAACTGGCCAGGACATCAATGGATTGGGGTGGGGTGGCAGCAGCACCTGGCAGTGGTCCAGCTCACACGAGGAAGTAGCTCATTGCCCATACCATGTCAAGGATCCACAGAAGCCTGGTCCTGAGTAAGCCTAGACAGCCTAAATCCCACGTGTTTTCTTCCCATTCACTATTAGTTGGCCATAATTGTCTGCACCACCTGCCTGAGCTGGCATCTCTGCAATACAAGGCTGGTTTACGTGGAGCTTAATTCCCAATAGCAATAGGCAAAACCCAGACAAGAATTTTCTATGCACCAGATATCACGGCAGAGAGAGCCATTGTCACACACAGCCACCACAGATAGCATGCTGTATTTAAGATATGTGAGATCTAGGTTCAGTTGTTTGGTCATGAAATGCATGGATTGGAATAGGGCTTTTAGTTACACAGAGTCCATTTTCTGACGCTCCCTACTACTGCAATTTAGGCTAGGCAGCAATCCTTCTGTGTTTTGGTGCCTACTAAACATCACTTTTACAATGGGTATTTACAGGAAGGTAATCTTGTGCTCGGTACATTGCCTAGAAATTGCTTTGACAATTTCTGCTTTGCGACAAGGCTGGGCATCAGGAAAGGCTTCCTCATGGTCAGAGCAGTATGACAACGGAACCAGCTGCCTGGAGAGGTGGTGGGCTCCCCCACACTGGAGACATTCAAAAGAAACTGGACAGCCGTCAGAGATGGATGGTGAAACTTGGAGTCCTGCACCAACAGGGGTTGGACTCAATGGCCTCATGGCCCCCTCCAACTCTAGTATTCTATGATTTTATGATTCTATAAGTGATTCATACTACCATAAAATAAATAAACTCAAGCTGCAACTCAGTTTAGAAACACAACCCATGTTTCTCTTTCTCTAAACTTTTTTTTTTTTTTTAAGAAGGTCTGGGGAGACGGGCTGCTTAACCATTTCCCCTCCAGCTATTTTGCTGCCCCAAATCGTCCTTTTCTTTCTGTAGGGAGCAGCTTGGGGAGCTGTTCCCATATTCACACCAGTGGAGAAACAGCTAGTGTTCAACTTTTAGTGTGAAAATGGTTGGAAGTGATCCTTTCTCCCCATTTAAATATTCAGCCCCTGTGGCCTGGGATTTTTGAGGAATCTGCAAAGTGGGTGGAAATCTGATGGATTTGCTCAGTTTGACTCTGGATTCCCTCCTGTCAATCCTGTACTGGCAATGATTCAGTCTGATGTTAGTTGAGCCAGCAGATGGACCTCTTTTTAAATGGGTCATAATGAAAGGCCACTGTGGCACATGCGATTAGACTGTTGGACTGGGATACGGGAAGTCTGGGTTCTATTCCCACTCAACTACTGGGTGACTTTGAGCCAGTCACTGATGCTCAGCCAGATCTACCTCACAGGGTTGAGTGTAAGACTGAGAGGAAGAGGGGGGATTTATGTAAGCCACCTTGAATACCTGTATGAAAATGGCAGGGTACAAACATACTAAATAATAATAAATAAATAAAACCTGGGGAAATGTGCAGAAAATTCAGGCAACTACACTGTAACTTGCATAAATGTACAGAAATTGTGTAAGTGCCCATTTCTCTGAACAGAAATGTCAGAAAATTCAAGGTGGCTGAGGTGGAGTATGTGTATGAAGTGAGAGGAGTACACTTTGATACGTTTCATGTTAATTGCTACAAGAACAACAATGCAAATCTAACGAGTCAGTCCGAAATTTGCACAATTTATTCAACTGTTCCTATTTTGTGCTAGAGAAACATCATCCTTGGCTCCAAATTTGCACCAACATTTTAAGTTATTTTTTGGTAGTCAAAACCAAAATGTCCACCTTGGCCTGCTTATGGTTGTTGGCCCAAAGTCTATCAAGCTCAATTGGAACAGTTTTCCAGAGTCACGAACACCTGAAACCATTTTCTCCTAATGCATGCCTGTGTGTGTGTCACTTCTGCTTTGGTCCCTGGGTCCACTTCATCTGAGATACTGCTTTTTTAAAAAGAAAAGAAAAAGCTCTGTGAATGTCATCTGAAAAAGACTGAAGTCATTTCTGGAGAGATGCATCTCTGTAAACACAGGTGAGAACACAGGCCAGAGAGTCATGACTAGCTGGGATGACACAGCAGTTGCCACCACAGACTGTGAAGCAAATTCATGCGATTGGATTTAACCATCAACTTTCTTATAGTGTTACTGAAATGGTAAACAAGAAGTGAATGGCAAATGTCCCTGCATACTGAAAAGTGATTAGAAAGCATAGCGTGTTTGTGCAGAAAAAGGATTTTTTTCCTGAGACAGAAAACCTACTTCTTGTAACAAAGATATCACATGAGGTATGCCTTTCCCCTTGAAAGGGATGTCCAGCAGAAAGGTCAGAAGTCTATGATTGGATAGTCTAGCTCCTCACTACTGTATGATGGAATTTGGGATATAACTAGCTTATATCCGGGTAGAAATTGGCATTTTCTGAATGCCCGCCCCCCACTCCTGCATTTCGGAACACTGTTGTCCCTTCCTGAATTCCCAAATTTCACATAGAAGGGAGTTGTATTTATCTAATGAATGCAAATATGGAAGATGATAGTCACACAGCCAAATTCATATTGTGTGGCAGGACTTGGGAGTTGTTGCATTCTGGAAGAATATTTTAGTATGTTGCCAAATGAGAGCACTCAAATATTCATCCATCCAAAGGAGGAGAGAAATATTTGCATAGCAGTTATATCTGAAGGATAAAGCATGATTGTTATGATCAACAGAACTACCATCTGATGTATTAACATACTGAAGTTGCAAAGTTCACACCAAACTGTGCATCCAAAGGAAGTCCTAGAGCACTTCCACTGAGTTCAATAAGATTTTCAAGTTGTTTGTGAATTGCAACTTCAGCAACTTGGATGCTTTAGCAACTTAGATGAGTATTTTCAGTGCATTGGCATAATAATATATCTGGCAGTCTGTGGCATACAATTTTTTTAAAACCTTAGTTCCTTCCAGACAGAGCCAGGGAGTAAGAAATGAATCAGATTTGTCAGCTGTGTGGTAGAATTTTACATTCTGTCTTCTACTGTTAGAACTCCCACCTATTCCGTTGTAAAGACAGACTCTGGAGAAAAACATGGAAATTTTAAAGTGACATGGTATAACCATCATTCTGGTGTTTCCAGTCATTTTTTCTTTCCCATTATTGTCTCTGGTCAAAAAGGGTTTTGTAATGTTTCCAAACCCTCATCAGAGGATACAACAGGACAAGAAGAATGGCAGGAAGAATGAGCATGGCATTTCCTAAAAGCTAGTCTCTGTCTTCAGTTTATTTATGTTTTCTGTGAGGGGCCAAGTGCTCCATTTGAAAATAAAACAATAAGCCCGCTGATTTTAAAAATATGATTATTTAGGCTTTCCAGTCGGAGTAACTTACTGTGGAGTCACAGAAGTTAATAATGTCTTTGATAATCCACCTTTTGTAATTACATTTTCTTGGTTCCTGGCACACTTTCCTCTAGGAGTATTAGCTCATCTTTCTGAGCCTCACCATAGTAACATGGTTTGATTGCTTTTGGTAGGAACAATCAATGTGTGTGCCATTCCTGCATTGGTTCATATTTTGTTCATTTAACTACCAACAGGGAAACTGTGTTGTTTGCAAGCTGCTGCAGATTCTAGTGTGCATCTTCCTCATTCACCTGAAGAAGTGGAAGCAAAGACTTTTATCCACTTCAAATATGCACATGCAGTACTATTGCCTGGGATTTTGGAGTGGAAGAGAGAAATGGCTGATCTGTGAATCAATCATCCCTGAAACCCGGGGGAGCGAGCAGGGGAGAGTTAGTCTTTCCCAGCTGTGTCCAGCTGAAGGGTCAGAATGGGTGGTCACTGCCATCTGCAGGAGTGCCGCCTGCAGGCCTCTGGTGAGCATGAGTATAATTTGGAGTATGATCTTGGTGCCTAATGTTGGGCACTCAGACAGATGGGGGTTTCTGCTGATGTGCCATCCACTTCACTTCCCAGCAATCTCCCCCGCCAAGCTGATGGAAGTGATCTTGGACTAGCTGGAGATGTTCAAGGTCATTATCCCGAATGTTCTTGAAATAATTTTAAATTGAACAAGAAATTAAATTAAGAGAAATAAAAATGATACAGTTCATTACACTGGAG